CACAGGTTGCCATATTGAGAAAGTGTTCCTAATATTTTATAAGACTGACGTGATACCTCTAAACATACTTTTTTCAGCAAAGGATCAGTTGAAACACAGGTTGAAGTGATTTTTGACATAACAGAAGGGGTCCCATCAGAATTTGACATTGGAAGTGTATTATTAAATGACCAGCAAACTCTAAATGCCCTAAACATAACTTCTAATTCAGTTGACATCAATGGAAAAGGTAGGTCTTATGACAAAACTTCTAAATGAAAAAGTCTTTTACAAACAAATGTATATTTTTAAAGTATCGATCATTTGGAATTATTATGTCAACACACACAATTATTGTAAAAGCCATCAGAAATTCAAAACAGCCTGATGAACATTTTTTTCCCACCAGTAATATCTACATCTAGTACAGCAGAACCCTCCACAACAACTCCTGAAGAAATGTCTTCAACTACTGCAGAAGTAACATCTACAACAACAACAGAAGCCTTTACAACAACAGTTGAAACATCCACCACTACTGCAGAAGTAACAAGTACAACAACAGAACCCTCCACGACAACTCTTGAAGAAACAATCACCACTTCTGCAGAAGTAACATCTACAACAACAACAGAGTCCTCTACGACAACTCTTGAAGAAACATCTACAATAACAACAGAACCCTCCACAACAACTCTTGAAGAAACATCCACCACCACTGCAGAAGTATCATCTACAAAAACAACAGAGCCTTCCACAACAACTAATGAAGAAACATCCACCACTAGTGCAGAAGTAACATCTACAACAACAACAACAGAGCCCTCAACGATAACTCTTGAAGAAACTTCTACAACAACAACAGAGCCCTCTACAACAACTCTTGAAGAAACAACAACAACAGAGCCCTCAACGACAACTCTTGAAGAAACAACAACAACAACAGAGCCCTCCACAACAACTCTTGAAGAAACTTCTACAACAACAACAGAGCCCTCAACGACAACTCTTGAAGATACAACAACAACAAAGTCCTCAACGACGACTCTTGTAGAAACATCTACAACAACAACAGAGCCCTCAACGACAACTATTGAAGATACAACAACAACAGAGCCCTCCACGACAACTCTTGAAGAAACAACAACAACAACAAAGCCCTCCACGACAACTCTTGAAGAAACAACAACAACAACAGAGCCCTCCACAACAACTCTTGAAGAAACAACAACAACAACAGTGCCCTCTACAACAACTCTTGAAGAAACAACAACAACAGAGCCCTCAACGACAACTCTTGAAGAAACAACAACAACAACAGAGCCCTCCACGACAACTCTTAAAGAAACAACAACAGAGCTCTCAACGATAACTCTTGAAGAAACAACAACAACAACAGAGCCCTCTACAACAACTCTTGAAGAAACAACAACAACAGAGCCCTCTACAACAACTCTTGAAGAAGCAACAACAACAACAGAGCCCTCCACGACAACTCTTGAAGAAACAACAACAACAGAGCCCTCCACAACAACTCTTGAAGAAACAACAACAACAACAGAGCCCTCTACAACAACTCTTGAAGAAACAACAACAACAACAGAGCCCTCCACGACAACTCTTAAAGAAACAACAACAACAGAGCCCTCCACAACAACTCTTGAAGAAACAAAAACAACAGAGCCCTCAACGACAACTCTTGAATACACAACAACAACAGAGCCCTCTACAACGACTCTTGAAGAAACAACAACAACAGAGCCCTCAACAACAACTCTTGAAGAAACAACAACAACAACAGAGCCCTCCACGTCAACTTTTGAAGAAACAACAACAACAGAGCTATCCACGACAACTCTTGGAGAAACAACAACAACAATAGAGCCCTCCACAACAACTTTTGAAGAAACAACAACATCAGAGCCCTCCAAGACAACTCTTGTAGAAACAGCTACAACAACAGCGCCCTCCACGACAACTCTTGTAGAAACAGCTACAACAACAGCGCCCTCCACGACAACTCTTGAAGAAACATCCACCACCATTGCAGAAGTAACCTCTATGACAACAACAGAGCCCTCCACGAAAACCTTTGAAGAAACAACAACAACAGAGCCCTCCACAACAATTCTTGAAGATACAACAACAACAACAAAGCCCTCAACAACAACTATTGAAGATACAACAACAACAGAGCCCTCCACAACAACTTTTGAAGAAACAACAACATCAGAGCCCTCCACAACAACTCTTAAAGAAACATCCACCACTACTGCAGAAGTAACATCTATTACAACAACAGAGCCCTCCACAACAACTCTTGAAGAAACAACAACAACAACAGAGCCCTCCACGACAACCATTAAAGAAACATCTACAACAACAACAGAGCCCTCAACAACAACTCTTGAAGAAACTACAACAACAACAGAGCCTTCCACAACAACTCTTGAAGAAACAACAACAACAACAACAGAGCCCTCAACGACAACTCTTGAAGAAACATCCACCACTACTGCAGAAGTAACATCTACAACAATAACAGAGCCCTCCACAACAACTCTTGAAGAAACAACAACAAAGCCATCAACAACAACTCTTGAAGAAACATCTATCACCACTGCAGAAGAAACATCTACAACAAGAACAGAGCCCTCCACGACAACTCTTGAGGAAACATCTACAACAACAACAGAGCCCTCCACGACAACTTTTCAAGAAACATCCACCACTGCTGCAGAAGAAACATCTACAACAACAACAGAGCCCTCTACGACAACTCTTGAAGAAACATTTACAACAATAACAGAGCCCTCCACAACAACTCTTGAAGAAACATCCAGCACTGCTGCAGAAGTAACATCTACAACAACATTAGAGGCCTCCACAACATCTCTTACAGAAATGTCCAAAACTACTGAAAAAGATACATTAACAACAACAGAGCTCTCCACAACAACAGTTGCTGAAACATCCACCACCACTGTATATGTAACATCATCCATGACAACACTTGAGGAAACATACACAACTACTGCAGAAGAAACGACTACTATAAAAACAGAGCCATTCACAACTCCTGCTGAAACATCAACCACTACTGAAGCAGTAACATCTACTATGACAACAGAACCCTCGACAACAATTTTCGAAGAAACATCTACTACATCAACAAAGCCCTCCACAATAACTCCTGCTGAATCATCCACCACTTCTCAAGAATTAACATCTACTACAACAACAACAACGGATTCGTCCACCACAACTCCTGCTGAAACACCCACCACTACTGAAGAAGTAACATTTGCAAAATCAACACAGGCCTCTATGACATTTTCTGCTGAAACATACACCCCTACCGAAGTAGCATCTACAACAACAACAGAGTCCTCCACGGTTGAAACATATACCACTACTGTAAAAGTATCTTCTTTAACAACAACACAGCCCTCCCCATCCATTACTGGTGAAACACTTGCCACAACTCTTCTGACCTTGGCCGCTTTGTCCACAACAGCCTTTGAAAATAAAACTCTTACAACAGCTACAATGCCCACATCACCAACTAAGGAACTGTCAGCAGCCACCTCAACTATCACAAGTGGTGGAATAGGCACAGAATCAAGTAGAACAACTTCTGTTTTCGCTTCAGTGACTCCCTCTTTAAACACTGCTTCAATCTCTGATGTAACAACAATAATCACAAGACTATTCCCAACTAAAGCACCCATTACCACAACTACAAAAATACCTGCGTATCTAACGGATCTAGTGTTCCACTCTTATGACACATTTACAGCTGACCTCAATGATTCAAACTCTCAGAATTACAGGGACAGAGTTCATCTTGTTAAAACCCAGGTGAGATACCATCCCTAAGACAAGGTTTTGCTAGAGTACATTAAACATCCGCGTTTATGGTTGTGACCACCAATTTTCCTCTGTTACAGCTTACCCCAGTCTTCAGACCCAAATATCCATCCTTCATTGAAGTGATTGTCTTAGGTTTCAGGTAAATATGCAATGTTGCAGTGCTGAATGTTTCCATTTAGTTCATTAAGAAATCTTAACAATCTTTTATGTATTCTAGGCCAGGCTCAGTCGTCACAAAAACACAACTAGCTTTCAACTCCTCACAATCGGGTCCATCAGTGGTGGAGATTTTAGACACTCTTATGACAGCCGTGACAAATGGGAGTGTGAACCCACTGAACATAAATCCTCAGACAATTTCAGTCAATGGTTCAGGTGAGTTTTAAACATGCATAAATACTGACAAAACGGTGCATTATTTGTTCAGTAGCCTTGTTCGTATATACCAGGGCTCGAAATTGCGACCATTTTGGTCGCATATGCGCCCGAAATTTTACCTATGCGACTTCAAAATATATTTGGGAGCATGTGTGCGAGTGCAAAAAATTGTTGTATGCGACCAGTTTTTACTGCAAAATGTTCACCACATTCGGGAGACATTCACGCAGACTGCATCTCTGCACTTGAAACACAAAACGCAGCGTTCAGGAATGGTTTAAAACAGTTGTCATGTCAACTTGCTGCAGTAAACAAAGCCAAGTCCGCAATGCTTGCCCCGCCTTCGCGCTCTTCTTATTGGCCCACCACTGCTCTAGCACTGAAATATCAGCTGTCAATCACTCAGTCAATGCCTTCTGGCTTGGGATGACAGAGAGAGCTACTACCGCGAAAAACTGTAAAGCGCTGAAGATGAGAATGAAGATAACACTGACAGATTTTCTTTCAGAAACCATGGCATCAATGACACATCTTACTAGTGATCATGAGCTAAATTTGAATCCACCATCTACACTTTAAAAGACTTCTATTGGCTTCAAGTCCGCTATGAAAAGTCTGTGGGATGGAATTTTTAGGTAACTGTTTGCCACATCTAGCACGAGAGCTTCTGTTTAATCCTTCATTCAATCGCCAGATGCTGTCCGCCATGAAAGTGGCAGTTATATGTAAAATTTAACACCACGTACACCAACGCAAACGGGCTTACACTGAGTAAATTAATATTGCTACTCATAAAAAAGTACTGCTATTAACATGACATATGCATATAATAAGTTACAGTATATGTCAAAAACATCAGTGCAATATCAGACAGCACCCGTGAGAACAGCACAGTTATACCGTTAACAGATTCATTCATGTCAAGCAGTGTGTGCAGGGCCAATGTGCGTCCTGTGTACCTTTTGGTCACTCAGTTATGTTATAAAAATCTATTTTCTTGTGATAACGGGATTTCGTTGAGACATATTTTCCTCACGCTTGCATATAAATATATATTTTTTGCTTGTTAGCTTGATTAGTGTTGATTTCAAATGCAATTAACATGTTTGTAAAAAAACTTGTAGTAACAGTGCTTATAAGTGTGACTAAATTTTGGCTGATGCGCCTAAATTTCTTAAGTTAGGAGGACCGGTGATACCAAGCAAAAAGGTTAATTTCGAGCCCTGTATAATGTATAGGCTAATCTTATCTAGCTCTTGTCTTATGAATATAAGTATGATGCCACACACAAGAATAACACGTCTATTACAATTGCATCATGTGACAATGAGGATTCAATCATCTTTACATTTTTTCAAAACAGCATTGATAACTCAAAACAGAGGAACAGCTGATCATAGCAATAGGAATAACCAGAAATGTATGATTTGTCAAACACCAGCTATTTCATCTCTAGCTGGAGAAAACACTTGAATATAAATCGGGGTCTACGATAACTAGAGTTAATCAAGTACAAGACTATCCTATACTATATATCTTAGTCATAGGATCACACCACATTGCAAATTTTGTCTTTTTATTTTATTTTTTACACCTTAAGATAGTAAGCAGATAGCTACCCAAATACTGAAGTTAGCAACCACTGTGTTAGCTAAGTGTATTTTACTTAGCAAAATGTTACATATTTAACTCTGCTTATTAAAGTTGCTATTAATATGAATGGGGAATATGGCTTATAGCTTCCTAATTAATTTGATTGTTTTTTCTTACAGTTATAAATGCAACAACAGCACCAACAACAGTTACAACAGCAGCAACAGCACCTACACCAACAACAGAAGCAACAACAAATACAACAGCAGCAACAACAACAACAACAACAAATACACCAACAGCAACAATAGCTATGATATCAGCAATAACAAATACAACAGCAACAACAACACATACACCAACAACAACACCTACGACATCAGCAACAACAAACACAACAGCAACAACACATACACTAACAACAACAACAACCGCGGTAACAACAACACATACACCAACAACACCTGCAACAACAACACCTATGACATCAGCAACAACCAATACAACACCTACAACAACAGCAACAACAACAAATACAACAGAAGCAACAACACATACAACAACAGCAATTACAACAGAAGCAACAACACATACACCAACAGCAACATCACTTCTGACATCAGCAATAACAAATACAACAGCAACAACACATTCACTAACAACAACAACACTTGCAACACCAGCAACAAATACAACAGTAGTAACAACAACACATACACCAACAGCATCAACACCTTTGACATCAGCAATAACAAATACAACAGCAACAACAACACAGTCACTAACAACAACAACACTTGCAACACCAGCAACAAATACAACAACAGTAACAACAACACATACACCAACAGCAACAACACCTATGATATTAGCAACAAATACAACAGCAACAACAACACATACACCAACAACAACACCTACAACATTAGCAACAACAACAAATACAACAACAACACATACCCCAACAGCAACAACACCTACGACACCAGCAATAACAAATACAACATCAGTAACAACAACCCATACACCAACAGCAACAACACCTACAACATCAGCAACAACAAATACAACAACAGTAACAACAACACAAACACCAACAGCAACAACACCTATGACATCAGCAACAACAAATATAACAGCAGTAACAACAACACATACACCAACAGCAACAACACCTATGACATCAGCTACAACACATACAACAACAGTAACAACAACACAAATACCAACAGCAACAACACCTATGACATCAGCAACAACAAATACAACAACAACAACAACACATACACCAACAACAGAACCTATGACATCAGCAACAACAAATACAACAGCAACAACAACACATACACCAACAACAGAACCTATGGCATCAGCAACAACAAATACAACAGCAACAACAACAACACTTTCACTAACAACAACACCTTCAGCACCAGCAACAAATATTTTAGCAGGAACAACACCACACATACCACCAGCAACAATGCCTGTGACATCAGCAACAACAAATACGACAGCAACAACAACACATTTACCAACAACAACACCTACGGCATCGGCAGCAGCAACAACAACACCTTCACTAACAACAACACCTTCAGCACCAGCAACAAATATTTTAGCAGGAACAACACCACACATACCACCAGCAACAATGCCTGTGATATCAGCAACGACAAATACATCAGCAACAACAACACATACAACAACAACACCTACGACATCAGCAACAACAACAAATACAACAGCAACTACATCACATACACCAACAGCAACAACACCTACAGCAACAGCAAGAACAACAAATACAGCAGCAACAACACCTACGACATCAGCAAGAACAACAAATATAACAACAACACTTACACTAACAGTAACAACACCTACGACACCAGCAAGAACAACAAATACAACTGTAACAACACCTACACCAACACCAACAACAACTACAACATTAGCAGCAACAACAAATACAACAGCAACAACACCTACAACAACAGAAACAGCAACAACACCTACAACAACAGAAACAGCAACAACACCTACAACAACAGAAACAGCAAATACAACAACAGCAACAACACCAGCAACATCAACAAATAAAACAGCAGCAACGCCAACAACTAAAACAGCAGCAACAACACCAACAACAACAGCTACAACAACTACATCAGCAACCACAACAACAACTAAAACAACACCCTCAACGACTTCCACAACTAAAGTGACATCATCAACTTCAACATCTACTACTACAACTACTACTACAACAACTACATCTATACCAAAAATACCGGTGTATATAACATTTTTGGTGTTCCACTCTTATGATGTATATACAGTGGAACTCGATGATCAAACCTCTCAGGTTTACAAGAAGAGAGTTCAGCTGGTCACAGCAGAGGTAAGTTCAAGTACAATGACATAAATGGTTTTCCCCTATAATAGATAGGGAAATCAACAGCAATCAATGCAATTTCATAAAAAAATGTATGAATTCTCATTAAGGTCTCATTCTCTGTTACAGCTTGACCCAATCTACAGAGCCAAATATCCTGGTTTCATCGAAGTGATTGTGTTGGGTTTCAGGTAAATGCAGAATTATGCTGTCGTAATAATTTTTCTTAAAATAAATACTCCACTTTTTTTTTTTTTTTGTAAATAGACTAATTTTACAACTGCACTTCAGTTTAATAGAAGAGATTTGACATTTTTGGAGTTTTGGCCTGTTTAGGCAAATCTCCAGGCCCAGCAGGAGCACTTTTAGCTTAGTTTAGCATAGCTCATTGAATCACTGAACGACAAATCAGAAAAATATTATCGCAATAATCGTATATGCAATATCCATATACAGAGAACGTTTTATAAACTAATAGGATCATTTGCTTATGATTGGCCATGGCTGGTCTCGCATTAACAATAAAGGGTTCATACATATTTTTTTCTACAAAAAATCCTTGACTTTTCCAGGACTTGAGTAAATTTTTATGACCTAATATTTCATGTAATTTTTCTGTATATTCCATTTATCTGATTGGTTTATGATGTGATGGGCTGCAGCTGGAAGGGCATCCGCTGCGTAAAACATATGCTGGACAAGTTGGCGGTTCATTCTGCTGTGGCGACGCCTAATTAATAAAGGGGCTAAGCTGAAAAGAAAATAAATTAATGAATGATAGCTATGTGACTGTTAATACGGCACAATCTACATCCCAAGCGTGTGATCCTTTTGAAATTAGTTTATAAAAACTCTGGATATAGCATATGCTATTATTGCGATAATGATTTTTTCTTATATGTCAAACAGTGATTTAATAATATATATATATATATATATAATATAAAAATATATAAATAATATAAATATATATTATAATAAATAGTTAATAAATTGAAAAAACCCCACAATCGATACTGATATTTTAAAAACATCCATTTCCCGCTAACATTTAAGCGTGTTCTTAAATAGCGCTGATTTGCCATTGTGTTCATGTGCGCAACAGAAATGACTGTGAAGGTCATCAGTTCACCAAACTCACCACTGTGTTTACTGTGCGAAACCACAGATACAGGGACACTGGAGAGTTTCAAAGCCACAAAGATCAGCTGGTTTGTCTATAAGCTGACATACAAGTGATTCGCTGATGAATCGTGGCTTTCTTTTTTTTTAATACCAATTTTTTGACTGTATTTTTAAATTATTTATTCATTTTAAATATTTTGTTTCCAAAATTCTTTAGTTTTAAGATGCTCTGTGGTTAAATGTGAATGAAACAATTATGCTTGAGAATAATAGTAACTATACTTTCATTCACATTTAATATTTAATTAACTTTGCTGCCATACCATGGTTGTAGCCAGAACAATGATATTACACAGTGCCTGAGTATCAGCAATATAAGCAACATTGCAACCACAAAGACATTTAAAAGTTACATAACTCGGGGCTATTTTCAGGCGCTGCAAATTATCATTGCACCTGCTGTGATATTGAGCCTATTTCTAAAGCAAGTCCTTTAAGGAATCCTGTTTGACACTCTTTTATGTTTTCCAGCCGAGGGTCAGTCGTCACAAAGACACAACTCCTCTTCAACACCACAGTAGTTGAGCAATCCCCAACAGTTCAAGAGATATCAGAAACTCTACTGGCAGCAGTGGGAACAGGAGTGGTCAGTCCACTCAACATAAATCCTCAAACGGTTTCAGTCAACGGTTCAGGTATGTTTGAACCTCTAAACATACATGGCATTTGGGCTGGAATGAAAGGAAAGCAGACCTTACATTTTGTCTAATGAGTCTAATCTAATGTGTTCATCTTTTTCTTACAGTCATTGCTACAACCGCAGCTCCTACAACTCTTATAACCACAGCGTCAAGCGGATTAAAGATTGAATCAAGCTTGCAACAAGTAACATGGTTCATTATTTTGGCGAAAATATTAAGGTTTTTCTTTTAGATGCCATAAGAATAAATCAACTATGTTCAGGAAGGATTTCAGTAGCATGTTATATTCTTTCTCTCTATGTATTAATTACAGTTCTTAGCATGCTATAAAAATAAGGCAATTGCAATATAAATGTAAGCTTAAAACTTGAATTGATTGTCAAGAGCACAATTTATTTATTTAACAGCAGCTTGTTAAAATTAATGCTACTGTTGTCCTTTTCAGGAAAGTATTTTAGATGTAACGCTTTTAATCATCTGTCTGCTGGTTAAAGACTATTTATAACTCTTCTTTGTCTAGTATGTGTTAATAATAAGAGATGGTATTATAATCAGGTCAATATATTTATTGAGATGGCATGAATTGTGTAAAACGGAGATTATTTATAAACAAATAAAGGATTTAATATATATTTGCACAAGAAATTTGGAGATGACGTTGGTGTTAAGCTACAAAAAGTATGTATATTTATTCAAAATGTACAAGATATTTATGTTAATTTAAATAAAATCTTAATGTTATTAAAAAAAACTGTGTATGATGTTTTCCTTTGCAAACATACTTTGTCAGGGCTTCTTATAGCTTAATTTTAAGGTTTCAATGAATTTCAATGTAATTGATTGATCTATTTAGGTGGCACGGTGGCTCAGTGCTTAGCACTGTCGCCTCAAAGCGAGAAGGTTTCTGGTTTGAGCCCCGGCTGGACCTTTTGGCATTTCTTTTTGAAGTTCGCATGTTCTCCCCGTGTTGGTGCGAGTTTCCTCCAGGTGCTCCGCTTTTCCCCTAAGTCCAAACACAGGCGGTAAAAGTGAATTAAATTAGCTATGAATGAATGATTGATCTATTTAAATGGAAGGAATATTTTAGATACTATATAAATAAGAATTACATTTAGTATTGGGTTGTGTCGATTCTGGAATTCAGTACCCTTTGGTACTGAAATGTAAAAACCGTCAACATCGCTCAAATGCTAGCGTGAAATTAACGTTTTTAAAATTTCAGTATTGATTGGTAGCGAATTCCAGTTTCATGACGACCTTAATTTAGCATTTTTTGTTAATCAAATTGCATGATAATCATTAAAAAACTTAAAACAGGAAACATTCTAATTTATTAAAAATTTAAAGAATATGAAATATGGAGCCATTAATTTCGAAAAGGAACTTGTTTAAGTGTAATTTAATATATTTCAAATAAAAAAAATTTATGAAGGCTAGAATAATATTCACATCACAAAGATATCCAATGTTGAGTCTGAATTATAGTTGGGGAGGAGCTACGGATTAATTTAATCTTTGTATCTGTACAGAATTATATAATTTATGCAAAATTCAAACTTAAATTTTTGCCCTGTTTCTAGTCCAAATATCTACATTTTAAAGTAAAAACCAGATTATTTTACTTACCCACCAACAAATAATTTTGATTGTTTTAAGGAAAGTCTCTTAATTGTGACTTATTTCTTCTGATGGTGAACACCAAGCTATATTTCTACTTGCTCTAAGAATTTGTTAATATTTGGATTGAAAACAAGATGACACATTTTTTTTTCGATTGTGGTTATTCACTTTCTATACATGAACACTGCTAGACTCCCCAGAAAGCAATCGCTATTAAAATTAACTTGTGAAACGGTATTCATATCGCAATATTTATCGCAGAAAAAATTTAATACCACAATATCAGATTTTTACAATATCATGCAGCCCTAGCTGAAACCCTCTTTTTGACATACTTGACATATCATTCTGAGTAAAATATGTTTAATGTCATGTTTAATGTATTTTATAGTGACTTACTTTGTTTTAAAAGCATTATCTTCAACAAACAGAATCAAATAGTGTTTCTTTTAATATTATCTTCGCTAAGTACTGTCAATCCTAAACTTACTCTCTGTAGGGCTTAAGTTGTTAGAAGCTGAACATCTGCCATGACCAGTCTTTCTTGCTTGCTTGCATTACAAACTTGACTCGAAACTTAAAGATTTGTCATTTGTGATTTATGACATGCAATTTGGTCTTGTCAGTGGTAAATATAAGTTATGGAACAAACCTTTAAATGTCACCTTTTATAATCACAATCATAACATATAATCAAAATAAGCTATTAAATGCTGCAAACATTATAATGAAAGTGATTATTTTACTTCAGTTTTAAATCACTTTGAATTTTTGATTGACTTTCATAAGAGGTTTAAACACAATTGTGTGGCAACAGTGCGTGAATATAACCAGCTTTTAATAATTAAAATATATATTAATTCCATTTTTTATTACACCTCATAAAAACAGTCTGCAGAAACAGGTTGACTGACATTCTCCCTTTGTAAGTTTCATCAGAAGGGGAAATCCCCGGCATCCATTATTAACAATCTCTCCCTCATAATTATAAATAGCCCTAAGTGAAAAGCAGCCATCCGCCATTCTAATTTTTTACAATATTTCTGCTGAAGATAGTAGCCCCTTTCACACAGTGATACCGGTAAATATCCGGAAAATTTCTGGAACGACTTTACCGGTATATTCAAAAAAGCGCTGTTCTCACAGGCACGGACGTTACGGAAATTTTCCGGAAAAGAGCATTCACACATCCATTCCAAAATACCGGTAAATTCTGACATCATTAACCAGAAATGAGCTTTAAACGGCTGCGCTTGTATTTGTAAACATTTGACTAAATTACAAACTCTGCGGATGATCAATATTGTGAACAACTTTCGCAGGATCACTTTCGCATGTCGAGATGTTCATAATATGTGCGTGTGCAGGCGCTCACAGGCTGTTTCGCAGGCACACACAAAGCTTTAAGGTAAACAAACAACGGCTTGTCATAAGCATCTCATCGATGATTATTTACACGGTTGGCATTAAGAAGAACATATAAACGTGATCTGACTAACTTCTAGCAGCTAAATGTGTCTGGAAAAATATTCAAAGGCTTTTATTCTCATAAACCGCGCGGACGTAAATGCATCTGACAGTTGTGATTGGCTAAAGCAGACGTCTCACGTCAGCACGTTCTAGACGCGCACGCGCTTATTACGGCAATCTTCCTTCTGCATTCACACAGCGCAGCATTCCGGCAAATTGCCGGTAATGTTACAACTTCTCTTTCCGGAAAATAGCCAGAACGAATTTACCGGTATTTTCAAAAAGGACCTGTTCACACATACAACCTTTCCGGAAAATTGCCGGTAATTTTCCGGAAAGGTCTGTATGTGTGAAAGGGGCTAGTGTCAGGAGTTTTAGGACACACAACTTAACTCTGTAGTCACAAAATGTCAAAAAAGCACTTTAGTTAATATAAAACAACATTTTCTAGTTATTTTTAAATATTAAAGTGCTCACACTTGGCTGATGATTGGTAGTAAAGCTTGTTTAGCATGGTGGAGAGAGCCTTGAGGTCATACGATCCTCGAGCCCGAGGCTCCCTCCTGTTTGCAGGGCAAGAGGGAAGTTTGAGCTCAGAGAGATCTCGAGAACCCAAACCACCACCATGTTTTGGATTGTGGGAGGAAACTGGAGAACCTAAGGAAAACCCACACGAGCACAGGGAGAACATGAACTTTACACTAAAATGTCAACTGACAAGGTTAAGACCCGAACCAGAGACATTCTTGTTGTGAGGCAACAGTGATAGCCACTGGGCCACCGTGCAGCCCAATAGAGGAAATCCTAATATCAATCATATGTCAATCATAAGCACGTGATACTCTCGAAATTAGTTTATAAATAAACTTCACTTACAAAATAATTGAAAATATACCAATGACAGCTATATTTACTCTCTGCCCACTAGCATCGATCAAGTTTGCTTTTTGGCCTTTCATAAGAAAAAGTTTGTGCACCCCTCTAGTATAGGACATTGATTTTAATTGGCTAAACTGTTTATTCTAATGGTGACAAAGTGGTGCAGTAGGTAGTGCTGTCGCCTCACAGCAAGAAGGTTGCTGGGTCGCTAGTTCGAGCCTCGGCTCATATGGCATTTCTGTGAGGAGTTTGCATGTTCTTCCTGCGTTTGCGTGGGTTTCCTCCGGGTGCTCCGGTTTCCCCCACAGCCCAAAGACATGCGGTACAAGCGAAATGGGTAGGCTCTTGTCCATAGTGTACGAGTGTGTGTGTGTGTGTGGATGTTTCCCAAAGATGGGTTGTGGCTGGAAGGGCACCCGCTGTGTAAAAATGTGCTGGATAAGTTGGCGGTTCATTCAGCTGTGGCGACCCCGGATTAATAAAGGGACTAAGCCGATAAGAAAAGGAATGAATGAATGCTTATTTTAATGTCGATATTGTCTATTGTTTCCTATGTATTCATTTGAAGCTAATTGTTGTCCCATATTTTTACATCCCAATGTTGACATGCTCTAGCGATATCAGAGACTTCTTTTACATCTTGTAAAAAGGGGCATAATAGATCTCCTTCAATAATCATGCACGTGTTCTAAAATGACTGGAGATTTAATTTGAAGGTATACAGGAGACATCTTACATAACCGTGTTGCTTTTTATAACTACGCACGTCCTCTTATTGTTCAAGAGTGAAATAAATTCTGCCTGTAACATTATGCAGGGTTTTTTTTTTGCCAAAGCATTTCTTTTTAATAAAACTTAGTATTGTTGACACAAGCAACTTTTTAAATCACTATGAGGGATACTGCTATTTTAACATTCTTCCGATTTCACGTCTCTGTATTATTCGGTGCTGACAGATTGCTTTATAAAAACGATTTAAGTTGAAGAAGATACAATCAGTGGTAAATAAAACACCCATTTTCAGAATGTCGCGCAGTCACATTCCTTGCTGTTGAATAACATTGCGCAACCAATCATGTTTTCAGCAGATAATTTTAGAATCCCTTTATCTCTCTCTGAATGCTCTTTAAATGGGGCTTCTATGTGATCTTTTTAGTCTTTTCTTATTACAAATGATAATTTATTATACTAAGAAGAGACTATAATAGTATAATA